ACTGCTGCAGCCAACACGCCCTGAAGGCCCCTGTGGTGAACTGAGTTCTCTCGCGGCCATCCTGGTCGCTTCGAGTGCCCGTGCTGCCCAAAACACGCGTGGGCGCCCAGCCGGACCCGCGTGCGCATGCTCGAAAACTTCACCCAGACCGCTTCCCGCCGCGTATTCCCATTGCACCGCAACTATGCAATACTCCCCACTTTCGGTGCGAGGGGACGCCGGGGCACTTGTTCCCCTGTGCGGCCGGGCGATCCAAGTTTGGCCTGGAGGGGTTGGAGGCACCCGAGCTCGACAGTTCAGCATGCAATTGGCTCGGCTCGCTTGCGGCCGGTTCAGCCTCCCAAGCCCTGAACCGTTTGCCGTCCGTGGCGACAAATGGGGCGATTTCTTCTTCAGTTGGATGCGGGTGGGCCGTCGTTTTTATAGTTTACTTTCTTTTGCTTCGGCTTCGAAAGCCTTCTTGCTCGCGGTTTCATGTGCCGAACGAGCCGCAGATTGCAGCCGGCGTGCCCCAACAGGTCATCTGGCGAGGAAACGAATCTGGAGAGAGCCCGGTTTTAACTTCTGCTTCTTTGCGCGGCATCTAAAGCGTGATTACCGCGGTTCTTTCAGAAACGCGGCGCGGCCACGCGTGCTGGGGCAGGGCGGTCGCGATGGGGGACGGCGCGGGGCCACAAGCCAAGGCGGCCGCGCCGAAGTGGCCAGCACCAGTGTTGATGTTAGCGCACGTTTCCCGCCTATTAGCGCAGCCGGGCGCGTGGCGTGATGTTTGCAGGAGGGGCGTCGTAAGGGAGCTCCCGTTCTAGGCGTCGCGCGGTTGGTGAAGTGTGGGCCCAACTTTTTTTTTTGGCTTGGCACAGGGGTGCGTTGTTTTTTTCGTATATTCGTAACTCATGGCGTGCGTGTTTCGTTTTTTTGGTTGCTATTGTTGTTATTTAATTCCCTCCTTGGGAGTGCCAAGTTTTGTTTTAATGGTTCCGATTTCTTGGAAATCTCTTGGCTGCGCCTCTAAAGGCGGGTCGGATCGGACATGGTGCTCTTTCGGTTTATTTGTGTAAGGGTGTTCTTGGGCCGATTTAACATGCGGTCTGCGATCTGGACTGCGTGGATAGCGCCCGCGCCTGCGGTAAAGCGTTTTACCACGGGAGCACTGTAGTCGAGGCGTCTTTGTCTTTTTTTTTCCAAAAAAAAAACTGGTATAAAAAGAAGCCTTCGTACATACGAAAGGTAATGCTACTACTACTAATATAGCAATAAAAACGCGGAGATGAAATATACACGCAAGCACATTTGGGCTGTAAAGAGGTGCAAAGGAACTACAACAACAATAACAAAGCGAATGATTTCCACAGTGAATGTATTCCCTCACGCAAGTTTAGAGTAAAAGACAAATAAAAAATATTATTTACCATCTACTATATGCCTAAATGGTATTACACAGTATTCGTTTAATTCTCAGTTCCGCGCAAATGGAATAGGAATTTGAATAGATCAACTAGTAGAATCGGGTAATATTTCAAAAGCAAATGCAGTAATAAAAAAACAAAAGAAAAAAAACAAATATATTTATGTTCCAGCAGATATGTGGATGCACTTCCAAATCTAAAGCCGCGGGAAAGCGTCATAAATAAATAAAAAATACTTATACAAGTAATGCTTCCTCACGTGCTCCACCGTTTTTTTTTTAAATTTTAACAAGGAGGGAGAGAGCTAGATAGAATTAGTTAATGGAATGGGATTTCTTTATTTTTGCCCGAAAAGGCCGTAAAAAAAAACTTGGTCGTTGTAAAGTATGTTGTGCTTGTTTCTTGCAACGTTGCTTCTTTCTGTACTAACAAAGCACCATTCATTTCATTTGCTGCCATACACAAGTTGAACTTGAAGATACCTCTGTTCTTTGGGCATTGTGCGGAGCACTTTTCTTTCTTGGGCCGTAAGCTGGGGTATATTCTGCAGAGGTGTTGCCCTTTCAGCGCTTTTGCCGATGCATTGCTTGATCTAGAAGACTTGTTCCCACCTCGTTTTTTTGTTTGCGGGGTGTCCTTACAGCTTTTGAGGTGCTGGTTCTCCGTTAACCTTTATTTTTGCCTTTATTATTATTATTATTATTGCTTAAAATAAGGAAGGATACCGCTATTAGGAGTGAGGTGTAGTTATGGTGTCGTATTGGAACATTGCCGCGTTATGCCTGGGTGGTTACGTTGCTGGAGCCGTAATACTGGTTCGTGTGTTTCCGCTTCGGCAAGACTCGGAGACGGAAGTTCTTAAAAAGCGTTTTCCTTACCCTGTAACGAAAATTGCTCATAGGGGTGGTTGTTTGATAGGCCCAGAGAATACCCTATATACTTTTAAACGAGCAATAATTGTGGGAAATGCTGATATGTTGGAATTGGACGTTCACCAATCACGAGATGGCGAAATTGTTGTTTCTCATGATGCTGCTCTCTTACGGACTTGTGGGAGCTTTCATGAAGATGTGAAGGTGGACGATATTGTGGTAGCTGGGAATCCGAACACGACTTTGCCTCAATCACTGCGAGAAATTCCAATTCATTTTGGGACTCCTCAAAGAGGCGGATATTATAGAGCCAGTGACTGTGTTCCTGTGGATAACACAACGCGCCTCTGCCTATTGTCGGAGGTTTTTGACGCGTTTCCAGAGATCCCGCTTCACATAGACATCAAATGTGAAGGGGAGGACTTTACAAGACGCGTGCTGGAATTAATCGAAGCATACGACCGGTGCGCGAAAACTGTGGTCGGGACTAGTAATTGGCGTAATCGGAGAAATGTATACGATTACTTTGAGACAGACAATTCCTCAGAAAGTGAGAATCTTCAGGCAAAAAGAAATCGGTTTCGGATCTTTGCGGGACCTTTGGACTATGCCATTGTTCATGCGGCCTATTTCCTCGGACTGCTTCCTCTAATCCCTTTGAAATTTGATGTCTTTTCGATTCCACTTTTTACGACACACAAGCGAAATGCGCTTGGCTCTTGCTTTACACGCTTTATTTCTTATTTTCTAAACGCACCTACTCTATGGAAGCATTTGCAGCGACGAGGTATACTTATTGTGGGTTGGGTGCTGAATGATGATGATGAGTTCGAGGAAGCCTCTAAGTGGCCTATCAATGGCATAATGACCGACGACCCTATAGCTTTGGATGCGTTTTTTAGGTCACGGAAGGTGCCAACAATGATGAATATTTTGGATTGATCCTTTGTCCTAATTGGGTGTGTTTTGTTATTATTTTAAAAACAGACAAACAAACAAATAAAAAAAACAAAAGAACCCATCATCCTTTGTGGCTTTATTCCTAAAAAGAAAAAGAAATAATTTGTTTTAATTCTTATAAAGTAATAGGCTCGTGAGGTTTGATTCTGATGGGTGTTTCTCCCCTGATTAAAGAGTTTTAACGG